ATAAAGTTCGTGTGCACTTTTAAAAATTTATAACTTTATTTCTATCGCAAATACAAATAATCTGTAAAAAATGTTATAAAGTTTAATGTACTAAGTTTTAAGTATAGCTAAAATAACTGTCATTTCAGGCATTACTGTAAATCAGTTAGCAAATGTTTTCCGTGTACTGCAAAATCGTATTACCCTTTGTATTGCTAATGATGGAGGACATGTGGAAACTTAAATAAAATGTCAATAAAACCTTAAAAAATATAGATTTACTTCTTTTTAATCCTTTTTACAAATTATTTCTTTAAAAAATTTATAACTTTATTTGTATCTGCTAAAGTGAACACAAACTTTATGGACACCCTGTATTTCCGTTGATCCCACATATATATCTCGAAAAAAGGTAACGTCAATAAATGACTTATCAGGATAACAGAATAAGGAGTTAGAAATCTTGAGATAATAGATTTCTCCACTCTTTTGATTGGTTCGTATTTGAGAAAATATGTCTGGTTGATAATTCTTTAATCTCTTGTACATTTCGACGGATACAGACATCTAATATAGCATTTTAATTTTCCAATTGACTACAGACCAGACCAGGTTGCGAAGCCTATTCGAAATGATGAGTGACCACCTCCCGTAGCGCGTTGGACAGAATGCTCAGCAAGCAAACCAGTTGACTCGTCTAGTAAGCTCGATTCTTAATGAAAGATCCATTATTGTGCTATTATTTCAAATCAAGTTAAGTCACTAAAAAGATGCAAATGATGCCGTCATATCTACATTTTATAAAATTGTAGAGGACCGGGGAAGTTGATGAAAAAAAAACAAACAAAACAATTGTATATATATATATATATATATATATATACATACATACACACACACACATATATATATATATATATATATATATATATATATATATATATATATATATATACACACATATATATATATATATACACATTTACACATATATATATAGTACACACATACACACACACACATATATATATATATATATATATATATATATATATACACACACACATTTGTGTGTGTGTGTGAACATTAGTGTTTGTTCTCTGTTGAATGTTCGTACGTACGTGTATGTGTGTATAATGTTTATGGCGTCTTCCAAAAATGGGAAGATGCGGATCTTCTGAGGGAGCTTACATTGTAGCAGCTGAAATGAAGAAATGAAAAAGAGAACGAGGCGAGAAGTCGCCCAGTATTTATAGTATAGGGAGAGTGACCCCTGGTGACAATTAGGGAACTAAGGAGGAGCTAACTCCGACAAAATTACTATCTTCATGATACTTCTCTTTTAAAACAAAACATATTTTATATAAAACAGACGTATTGTTTTCAGCGACAAGACTACAGTAAGAAACGGTAAATTCAGAAATAAATCATCATGATTCATGCACAAATTGAACAGTCATCGTAGATGTTCGAAATGTTTGCCTGAATGTTCAACACGAAGGAGACAGTAGCTTTATTCAAGGTCATAAATATTCAAGAAATTTATACAAGGTTATTCATGGTCAATTATTCCTGGAAGATAAAACAGTGATAACAGATTTTCCGCTTTTAAATGCTTTTACATGAACATGCATAATGTAACTTTAAAACTGACAGGATGTTTCGGATTGTTTATTTCCCGCATAATTTTAGTGTTTCGATTACAACAATAACAGGAAGATCGTTGCACGTCACTATTATTTGCCATGTTCTTCCACTTTTAGATACGTTGTCATACACGATACAAATCGATTTTTTTAACAGTAACATTTTGTATCAATCAACACTTTCTATAATATTTTCAGAATATAGTTTTATGATCAAGTAACCATTACGCCCACCGACTATAAATTTTAGTAGGCTCCCCACTACCTTTAGCATGTCCTCACTGTAGAGGTTGAATAAATCTGGGAAGAAGACACATCCTTGTCTTACGTCCATTTCTATTTTTGTATAGTTACTAAATTCATTTTCTAGTCGTATACAGGCGATTTGTTCCCAATAAAAGTTCTGGTTTATTCTAACAACCTTTCCAAATAGATCGAGTTTTCCTAGAATTTCAACTAGATCCTTGTGTGACACCTTTCAAATGTTTTTACGCAATACATAACATAATTGCACATCATTCTGCATTTGTACAAAGTCTATGAAAATTTCTCGAACATTCAGGCCGATAAATGTTGTTTAATACTGTTTATTATAAAACAGAGCATTTACTTAAATATTTGTATCTATAAAAAGAATGTATAAACATAAACATGTCTTAAAGTAATTGTCAGACTTTGTCCATTTCATAATGTTTGACGTCATTTGTTTACATTTGGATACGCTTTGAGCAGATATGAATTTACGTGAGAGATTCATGGAAGATTGTAGTTTAAAAGCAGTAAAATCGACCTTGTTAACCGAACGATCCTCTCTGGTTCTATCGGTTAAGGCACGTCAGGCTATTTATCGGTTCCGTATAGGATACAGTCCCGTTTCCCGTCGGAGGAAGAATATTTTCTATGAAGATTTCTCGGATATTCAGGCCGGTAAATGTTATTAATACTGTTTATTACAAAACAGAGTATTTACTTAAATATTTGTATCTATAAAAAGAATGTATAAACATAAAAATTCCTTAAAATAATTGTCAGACTTTCTCCATTTCATAATGTGTGACGTCATTTGTTTACATTTGGATACGCCATGAGAGAATCATGGAAGTTTGAAGTTTAAAAGCAGTTTGGTAATTGAACGATCCACGTGGCTCAATCGGTTAAGACACGTCAGGCTAAATGACGGTTCCGTATAGGATACAGGTTCGATTCCTGTCGGAGGACGAATATTTTCTATGAAAAATTATTAAATGTTATTAAATACTGTTTATTATAAACAGAGCATTTACTTAAATATTTGCATCTATAAAAAGAATGTATAAACATAAAAATGTCTTATAACATTTTTTTGTAACAAAGCCGTACTGTTCTTGATCTATTCCGGTCTAATTCTGCTTCTGGCTTTATTCATCAGCGTTTACCTAATTAGTTTGGTTCTGCGGCTCATTAAACTAATTGTCCGATGGAGCTCGCGTTCATTTGCATATGGTTTATTAGGTAATATTACTTTTGTGATGTCTACGAATACTCGTTGTCTCTTTCGCAATGCTCCTTGTAGTAGAGACTTTGTAATTGCAGATACAACTATAGTAACGCCGTTGAACAATACTGGTGTCAGACGCCTTCGAGCATCACTCGCACTAATAGTACGATAATACTTGCTCGAATAGTAACCACCGAATAGTAATCCGTATAGAGAAATAGTTTAGTGAATAGTATAGAGATAGAAATTAGTGTAGAAACAGTGATCTGAATAGTAATAGAGGATAGAATAGAAAAAAAGTGAGATATTCACTAACAGCCCTATGCGGTTGGATGTGGCACAAGGCCAAGTTTATGGTGGGGTTTCCGAGTCTGTTGGCTCGGCCAAAAATTCCTTGGAGACCCCGTGAAAAACGGGGTCGGGTAGCTGTTTCCCGAGACGAGACTCTGCCCTTCGACATAGCCTCGTCTTGGAATCCTCTCTGCTCGGAGGGAGACAGTTTTGACCAGCACACTTCCAAAGTAATCAGGATAGTGAACAGAAAAGTGAGATATTCACCTACCTCCCCCGCGGTCAGATGCGGCACAAGGTCAAGTTTATTGTGGGGTATGTGAACCCGTAGACTCTGGCAAAAATATCCCCTAAACCTCGTAAAAACGGGGTCGGTAGCAGTCTACTAACCCAGACGAGACTTTGACTTTCGACATAGCCTCGTCTAGGTTCCTATCTGCCTGGACGGAGACAGTTTTGACAAGTACACTTCCGAAGTAATTCGGATAGTGAATAGAAAAAAGAAAGTGATCAATTCGACGTCACGCTACTTTCTATTGATGCGTTTCCTTTATGGTCACGTGATCTACTTATTTCAATAATGGGATCGCCTGTGTTTGCTCCCTGGTGATCTACGTTCAAACTCCTGTGTCGTTGCCGACACTTTATTCCTACATAACACACATTTACGAAAATTGATTTACTAAGATTTTCTGCTATGTCATCATTGTTATTTTTTTTATTAAAAATATTTACCTCTAGATTTCGTACTTGCTTGATTTTGGTATCTCCAATTCTTTTCTTTCCGTTAGAAACATGACCTATGATCATTATGTATTTAATCTTAGTAGACAGTCCTGATGCGATTGTTATTATTATTGCTATTAACTATAAGACCAGCAGCACATTTACAAAGTGACACTGAAGAGGGAAAATATACGTAGCCAAATATACCTATTATAACACCGTCTGATAAGGTTATACTCATCACATGCATCTCGGTCACATCTGCACGAGATGCTGACAGGTATAAAAGCAACGCATCACCTGGGAGGTGGCGCCCAGTTAGGTGGAGTATTAAATTTTTCTACGATGCAAAATGTTTGAAAAAAGGCAGTAGAAATTATTTTCAAATTGCAGTGTTTAAGGCAATGTTTTCAAAATGCAAATATTTAAGAGAAAGTATTAGAAATATATTCTTTAAACATTGTCCAGTATTTCAAGGAAAGGAAGAGATATTATTTCCAAAGAAACAAGGGATTTCAAGGGAATGAAGAGGAATTTTTTTTAAATTGTAAAGGATTTAAGGGCAAAGGACAAATTCTTTTCAAAATGTGAAGTCTTTCAATAGAACTAATTTAAATTCTTTTCAAAGCGCGGTGTTTAAAAAAGGGATACAAGTTCTTTTTAAAAAGATGCAAAGTGTTTTTATGGAACTGACAGGAATTATTTTAAAAATCCAAAGGGAGAAAAATTCTTTACGAAGTGCAAAGTGTTTAAATGGAAGTGATAGAAATTCTTTTTGAAATGAAAAATGTTTAAAATGCGTGATATAAATTCTTTTTGAAATGCAAATTATTTAAAAGGAAATGACAGAAATTCTTTTTGAATGCGTTTTAGAAGTTTGATTAATTCATGACTAACCTTGGTAAAAGCTGATAAAGTAACCGATCTGTTTTCTTTTTTTCTTCCAACAACGCTTGCGTACGTTGCTCAACAAGATCCTCCAGGTTAATAGCATATCTCTCCATTCTTTTTAGAATGATGTCCATAATGTTTCCAACCCTAAATGAAGAGAATCAAAAGTAAAATAAATCTAGCTTTCCATCCGAGTTTCTGCGATGAAAAGTTATCGTTATTGACATTCAAACTAATACTTACATCTTTGTCGTTCTTATGATAGCGTTTCGGCTGTTGTGCTTCCGGCCTTCTTCAGGTTTCTCTCGATCCAGGAAATTTTTAGGAAATTTCGAACCGAAATCTTTATTTAAACTAGGTGGGTATATTGCTCTCGTACTGCTACCCAGGGACATGTCGTTTTTTTTTTTTTTTTTTTTTTTTTAGTACAGCTTAGTTAATGCTCACCATGTTTCCATTCCTTTGGTGAATATGGTGACATAGTAATTGCAAATTCAATCTCTGGGTCCAGTAGTACAGACTTAGCAGTGTAAACAATTACTGTACAGTAGTAATATATATATATATATATCCCTAGACAGCGAAACGCGAACTA